TTTGGACTTGAACCAATGCCGATCCAATTTAAATTAATTATTTTCCAAAAGCTGTAGGTAAACCGGCGCCAGTCAGGCCCAAAACCGGCGTTGGTCAGGTGGGAATTTGGTATCATCGCCAATTCCAGGGGTGAACCGGCACCGGTCCAGTGCATTTTGGGCAGGTTAGTTCTATTTAGCCAATTTTTGATCTGATATGTTGAGTAGTGTGTCTTACATGGTTTGTAAATGTAGGAACACTATTGATCAATGGAAGAGATGCAAGAATTCTCATTGATACCAGGGTGCAACGTTCATTTGTGAATGAAGCGTTTGCCGATGGTTTAGACGTGCCATTGACACCAATGACACAAACCTTGTTAGTCTCCACACTGTTAGGAGATGACATGGAATAGAACTATTACTACCATCGTGTGAGGTAGATGCAATCCTAGGGATGGATTACCTTGAGAGACGTCATGGTCGAGTAGATTGTTACACTAAAGTTTTGAAACTCGAGGATGATGAGGGAAACGCCTTATGTTTTGAGGGAGATCGAGGAAGATCTCATGGTTGTATCATATCCGTGGTAAGGGCACGTAAGATGATGAGGAAGGGATGTCATGCACTCATGCATACCTTGCTTACATGGTGGATGTCATCAAGAGAGAGAATGATATCAATGAGGTATGTGTCGTGTGTAAGTATTCAGATGTCTTTCCCAAAGACTTGCCAGAACTTCCACCCGACGTGGAAATTGAGTTTGTAATAGAAGTAGAACCAAAAACCAAACCCATTTTGATTCCTCCTTATCGAATGACACCGAGAGAACTACAATAGTTGAAAATCCAATTGGAAGAGCTATTGGATAATGGGTCATTAGACTAGGTCATTCACCGTGGGGAGCATTGGCACTCTTCGCGAAGAAGAAAGATGGTGCGTTAAGAATGTGTATAGATTACCGGCAGTTAAACAAGGTCACAATCAATAATAGATATCCTTTATCGAGGATTGATGTCTTGTTTGATCAACTTCGGTAGGCTATGGTATTTTCAAAGATTGACATGAGGTCGGGCTATCATCAACTAAATAACAAAGAGAGTGACATACCTAAGTGTGCATTTCACACTAGATATGGTCATTACGAGTTTCTTGTGATGTCATTTGGGTTAACAAATGCACTGACCACATTCATGGATTTTTGTGTTTAATGATTACCTAGATCAATTTGTGATTGTATTCATTGATAACATCTTGATATACTTCAAGAAAGAGGAGGAACATGAGCACCATTTGAGACTTGTGCTTGAAAGACTAAGAGAGAAACAACTCTTTGCCAAATTATCCAAATGCGAATTTTGGCTTAAGGAGATTGGTGCTCTCGGGCACGTGATCTCAGGATTGGGAATTGCAGTAGACATTGCAAAGATAGAGGCTATCATGGATTGGGAGCGCCCAAAGAATGTGAAGGAGATACACAGTTTCCCTTGCATAGCGGGATACTATCGTAAGTTTGTTGAGAAATTTTATGTGTTGGCGTCACCACTTATGAAGCTAACAAAGAAATGAGCTAAGTTCATATGGGATGACAAATGTGAAAACTGGTTTCTTGAGCTAAAGAAACGACTCATCGAGGCACCAATGCTTGCCCTACCCAAACAGGGGATAGGGTTTGACATTTGTAGCGATGCTAGCATCCAAGAGCTTGTATGTGTGTTAATGAAAACCGATAAGATGATTGTTTATGCTTCTAGGCAATTGAGGAAGCATGAGGTGAACTACCCTACCCATGATCTAAAATTGGGGGCAGTAGTATCTGCATTAAAGATTTGGAGGCATTATCTCTACGAGGAGACATGTCACATCTACACCGATCATAAGAGTTTGAAGTATGTGTTCACTAAAAAAGAGTTGAATATGAGGCAAATGAAATGGATGGAGTTGATCAAAGACTATGATTTGTTCATCGTCTACCATCCAGGGATAGCCAACATGGTGGCTGACGCACTGAGCAGGAAGAGTACGTCGGGGACGTTACTTACATTCCTACAAGCATTGAAGGCGTGTGTGGAGGTGTCCACAAGCGGGACCCTTATAGCGAGATTTGAGGTGAGGCCCACTTTACATGACGAGATCAAGAGGTGTCAGGGTACTGACGAGGAATGCCAGAAGACTTTTAAACGGGTTCTTGCGGGATCCGTTGAAGGTTTTTTGGGTACGAGAAGATGGTCTCTTATTGTTTAGGGATCGTGTATGCATACCCAAGAATGAGGAGCTCCAAAAATCTATATTAGAGGAAGCTCATTCTTCGGTCTATGCTATGCACCCGTGAGGTACTAAGATGTACCAGGACTTGAATGAAAGCTATTAGTGGTCGGGTATCAAAAAAGATATCGCAGAGTATGTGAGTTGATGTCTTACTTACCAACAAGTTAAGGCTGAACATCAACAGCCGACGGGACTTTTGCAGCCACTTACCATTCCAGAATGAAAGTGGGAACACGCGACTATGGACTTTGTGGTGGGACTGCCACGAATGGTTAACAACTATGATGCGATTTGGGTAGTGGTTGATAAGCGCACTAAGAGTGCACACTTCTTACGTATCAACATTACTTATCTTCCTAAGAGATTGACCAAATTATACACTGAGGAGATTGTGAGGTTGCATGGAGTTCTGATATCCATTGTCTCATATAGAGATCCATGCTTCACATCCAGATTTTAGCCAAAATTTCAAGCATCTATGGGAACTAAACTGAAGTTCAACACAACTTTTCACCCACATACGGATGAACAATCCGAGCGGGTAATTCATATTTTGCAAGACATGTTGAGAGCATGCGCTTTGGAGTTCCAAAGATGTTGGGACAGACATTTGGCCTCAGTAGAACAGACCATATCAGATCAGATCAAACCTGCATAATTATAAAATACACAGAGACTAGACGTTTACTCGAGCAGACCAAATCACACCAGACCGAAACAGTTCGGATCAGACCAGATAAAACAAGGAAATTTCATTCCAAAGTAAAAACTAATTTCCCAATTAGTTTGTGTTAGTACCCAATTTTGATAGATTTTGATGATGTCACTATACTTTGCACTAGTACATTGTGTCTTAATTTGATTCGAGCATTAGTGTTCATAAGTGACAAAATAAATGTACAATTTTTGAGACTAATGAAATATTACCGGAAAAGTAAAAATGCAATAAGGTAATTTTTATTTAGCTTAATAGGATATTTAGATCCTACCGGCATATATGATTTAGCTCAAAGATTAAATAAAAGTCACATTTATAAGATGCTCGAATATCATATACACTGAATGTGTATGATTGAAAGACAAAATTGATAAACATTAAATGCAAAATAAGTACACTGACCTACAACATGAGACGCTTTTGGATTGAAGTTGCAGCGGCTGAATTATTAAGGATCAATTACTGCCTCGACGCACCCATGCCGCGGCCTAATTATTCAAGACAAGGAGACAGCCTCATTAAAAGCCCCTGCACAAGAAGACGAAAGTACATATTTGTCATTGGCAGACCTTCAACGCACAAGATTAATCCATCCTAACCAACAGATGAGATTAATCAATTGGAGTAGCCTATAAATATAGGCTGCAATGAAAGTTTCTAACCAAGCTTTGAGCATCCAAAAAGTAGAGAAATACATTGAGCATTCATGAGCTATCTATGAAAAAAAAGAAAGTGCGAAACTATACTTTACTCTCTGTTTGGACTCATGCTTCACTAAACTTCAAAGTTACAAGTATTCATTGATAAATCCTAGAAGTTGAGTTCCTGGTTGGAGGTTAGAACTTTCTTGTAACAAATCACAAATTGTTGTAAACACTTAGGAGAACAGTTGTTCAGATCCTAAAGTGTGGTTAGATAGATAAAGTACCCTTTGATCCCCACTGGATTAATTGAGAAAAATCTAAAGGACTGAGTAACTTTGAGTGCTGTTGTACTCATTGCGAAAAACCTTCAATCTAGGCCTAAGTGTTGTAAAGGCTAGATTGACACTAAGTGTATTGGGCTTAATACTTTAGTGGAAATCCTTCTGAAAGAGGGTGAGACTGGACGTAGGAGGATTACACCACCTCTGAACCAGGATATACTGTGTGTTGATTTATTTTCAGTCAACAAAGCACAAACCAAACACTTCTCACAAAAGATTGTAGTTTGCCAACAACATCCTAAGCAGTAGTCTTAATTGACTACTGCTTATCATACTGCTTAATAACTCACTTTCTTTGAGACAATCTTTCCACAAGAGTCTTGCACTATCACCACTAAAAGGTCTGTTCCATCACATCTCAGGAAATCATCTTAAAGCATAACAGTTGTCTCAGCAGTCCCCTGGTGACTACCCAACTGCTGAGCCCACTGCTCATACAAAATTATTTCCTTTGAACATCTCAACTTCACCAGACCTTCACAACACTATCACCAAGGAGTCTGTTCGACTTGATCTCTGAAATTCAAGCTGTAACCCAGCAGGTGCCTCAACAGTTCCCTCGTTGTCACCTAACTGCCGAGACCACTGCTTCAGTAAAACTCCCATTTACTTGTACTCAAGCACATCTTCAGAAAGTCCTCATCACCCTGAGCAATATTATATAAGTAGTCTTCCCATACCTTCATTTTCACTTAAGCAGGTACCTCAGCAGTTCCCTGGTAACTACCCAACTGCTGAGACCACTGCTCTCATTAAGGTTGATTATCATTCCATCTCATTACATCATCAGAAACCCTTTCATTCTGAGAAAGATTCTGCTTTCACTTTCACCATACACTCAGTATTTCACTAGCAGTTGCCTCAGCAGTTCCGTGCCTTCCAATCAACTGCTCATTATAAAAAGTTCAAATATCATCCAAGTTAGAAAAGTGTCATATATTAAACATCTAGAGGTTAAAGATTTCCGATGTGCATCTATAAATCTCCAAAAAGATTTTAGATCACCTATCTAGAAGGGAAAAGTTTTAAAAGGTGAATGAAAAGTTTTAGATTGTAGCGTGCGAATACGGTACAGCTATAGTAGTCCAACTTAAAAAGCCCAACCCTATACAATATACCCACACAATATCGACCATAAGACTCATACTATACATATATATCCGTCACACACTCTGTTTCGCCTACTTCAGCTACTCCATTCACTTGTCTTTGTTCGATCTCTGGTAAGTCTTTCCTATCCCGCTCAATGGACTCTCAGTTTTAGCTCTTCTACGTTTCATTCTTACACTTTCCATACAAGCATGTATGTACTCGCCCCTTTACTACCAGGCATTTATGCATTTTCTGCAATCATATTAAATACTTAGACTCCTGTTTTTGAGGTTTATAAGAGATCTTTATTTATTTTACGAATCGCATTTGCTTGCCATGAAAGCGAAGTAATCGGAAATGATTTGCACTAATTCGTGGAGTTAGCGGAGTTAGTGAGTGCGTGCTTGTTTTTTTCTTTTTCCAATTATTTTCAGAGGCGTACATATTGCACGATCGGAGAATGCGCGATTGATACTCATATCTAAATTTAATCGAGGGTTATATATACGTCGTAGCAACTTTCGATTCGATCGGGAGTGTCAAGGAGTCGTACTTAATCTAGTAGCATTTGTGTCAGTAATGACTGTAATATTGAAATCCGCGTTAAGTCTAGCTTTCGAAGCATATTTGCAAGTATTTGCCCATATTTAGTAGTGTGCTGAAGAGTTGTTGCTCAAAACCTTTACGTCTTTTGGTATTGTGAACTCTTAATTGAATATAGCCTCGCCTTCAATAGAATTGATTATTGTTTCTTTCATGTAGACTCCCCCCTACTTGGCTGTTGTTTCTTACCTTGTCTCAATTGCCCATATTTTTGTAGTGTGCTGAAGGACAGTTTGCTCAAATCCTGCATTTCTCTAGGTATTGTGAACTCTTAATTGAATGTAGTCCCATATTCAAATGAAATTGATTGATCTGTATCTTACATGTGGTTTTTTCCCTACTTGGCTGTTGTTTTAATCTTGTCTCTTTTTCCTATTTGGTTCCAGACTTCCAGCGATACTTTTCTCCACTGCCTACATGGACCAGGTAAATTGCTTCACATCGATATATCCTTGGTTATTTTTTTTATTTATATTATGTATATCCTGTGACATGAAGTTTGAGAAAAATGCAGTATGAAAAAGTTGAAAAGATTGGCGAAGGGACATATGGTGTAGTATATAAGGCTCGTGATCGAGTAACTAATGAAACTATTGCACTGAAGAAGATTCGGCTGGAACAAGAAGATGAGGGAGTTCCTAGCACAGCTATCAGAGAAATATCCCTTTTAAAAGAGATGCAACATGGAAACATTGTCAGGTATATAATGTCGTGTACCACTCAAGTCAATGATCTGATACAATGTCAGGTATCTGGTAATTCTACAACATGTATCCAAGTTGATATATTACATTTTATATAGATTGGTACATGTGACATTATAGTCAATGATCTGTCACAATGTAATAATCTTTCCTTGTGGTTTTTGTACTCTGGCTTCCTTGTGTATTGTTGTTGTCTTCATGTCTTGTTTATACAACATAAAACACCCAATAATTTTTACATGCGGGTGGGTCATGGGTAGGTGAGGGGGTGATGCAAATATATAATGCAAAACAGTTCAACTCCATGCAAGTGTTACACTGTTCATTTGTTTTTTCTTTGTGTGTTCTTTAAACACGAGAGAACTCATTGAGAAGTTGTGATTGATGCTTCTTGTTACCTGGCTATAGACTTCTGGTCATTGACCCCATATGATGTTATCTATCTCATATAACTATTCAAGGAATGTCCTACACTCCTACCTTGCAACTATTTCGTTTTTAAATTCCTTACCTTCTTTATTTATTTTTGTGGATCATTGTCAACGCTCGTAGGTTGTACTGAACACACACACATGCATTTCTAACATTTTAATTTTGTGGTTTAGTATCTATTTAATCTGTGCATCCATATTTTTCTGGAAATTTCAATTTTGTTTATAATATATGATCATGTAATGTAACAAAACCAAATTTCTATTTTTGGACTATGGAAAAAGTGATCTCATTAAAATAGGTTTCCGCTCTCTAAGCAGTTCTACTGTCAATTCTATTAGTTCAAACCTGTTGATGATTATATTGATGCTTGATGATAATAGGTTGCAAGATGTGGTCCACAATGAGAAACGGTTATATCTGGTATTTGAATACCTTGATTTGGATTTGAAGAAGCACATGGATTCTTGCCCAGAATTCTCTAAGAACCCACGTATGATAAAAGTGAGTCATCTCCTTATGCCTCTAGCGGAGGTTGTTGTGCAATCAGCACTAGAATTGGATCCATTAAACATCTTGAAACTACACAAGTATCTGGTGATTCTATTAAAAGTCTGTTAACATAAATGCTGTAAGAGTTGTTTTGGAGGCTTGTTTCTCTCTATGTCAGAAAATTTCTATAAAACTGTCCTTTTCTGATGGAAAGAAACGTGAAATATCCAGTTGGTTTGCATAAAATACTTAATTGTCTTTCTGTAGATTTGTTGCTGAATTAAGTGTTTTATGCCTGTTCATTTGTATCTTGCAGACATTTTTGTATCAAATACTCCGTGGAATTGCTTATTGTCATTCACATAGAGTCCTTCATCGAGATCTAAAGCCTCAAAATTTGTTGATTGATCAGCGCACAAATTCATTGAAGCTTGCTGACTTTGGTTTGGCGAGGGCATTTGGTATTCCTGTTAGGACTTTTACTCATGAAGTAGGTGGTTGTGATTGGCTCATTTAACATATGTTATGCTCTCTCAGTCTTACTGTATGCATGAAAAAGTTAATGCTAATTTTAGTCCCTTGACCACACACTATTACTCAATTTGGTCCTCAACTTTCTTTTGGACTCAAGTTGGTTTTTGACTATGGAACTTAGGCTCAGCTTAATCTATGTATATATTTTTCTAATTAAGAAGGGAAAAAAACGTGAAGAGTAATTTGGGTATATATTACATTGTTGAGGACTAAATTGAATCTAAGTAGGGTGCCCTTCTTATTTGGAACCATATATGTAAAACATTGTTGAGGACTAAATTGAGTCTAAGTTGGGGCCCTCCTTATTTGGAACCATATATGTAAGACTAATTTCTCACAATTTCTTAGTCAAGGACCAAACTGTGCTCGAAAAAGGTTGAGAACCAAATTACGTAATAATGTATTGTTAAAGGACTGAATTAGGCACTAAATCTAAAATAAAAGAGCAAATTACTCTGTTTATGAGTCTGTTGCGCGCTCTACAAACTCATTCTAGTTAACCCATTCGTTTAGATTTGTAATGCGCCTCAAACAAGTAGTCTATGAGGCTCTTGCACAGAACTTATGCTATATATATCTAGTTAACCCATTCGTTAGATTTGTTAGTTTAATATATTTTAGATTTTGATACTTCATAGCTGATTCTCTTTTTTCAGGTCGTAACATTATGGTATAGGGCACCGGAGATACTGCTCGGCTCCCAGCATTATTCTACTCCTGTGGATGTGTGGTCAGTTGGCTGCATATTTGCTGAGATGGTCAATCAACGACCAATTTTCCCTGGTGACTCAGAGATCGATGAACTCTTCAAGATTTTCAGGTGTCACATCTCCACCTAATTAGATTATTCCTGCTTTTCTAAAATAATAACTTACCTAACATTATGAGCACGGAGTTTCAGAAATCTAGTTTGTGTGAATACAATTTTTGTCTTCCTCTACCAACATTGACCAAAATATGGTAGATAATATTGCTTTTCTTTGTTTTTACTTTTAAGGACGTTGTTTGGAACTAAGAAAATGGTAGATCATACGACTGTTTTGTTCTACTAGGGAAAATCCAAAAAGATGTCTAATTTTAACTCTAAAACTTTTAAAGACTTAGATATATATAGATTTCTTGGTAATTATGTAATTGAGCTTTATAAATATTAAGAGTTAATTAAAAATCTAATATTGAGTTTTTAAATATTTACAATTTTTAATTTTTTAACATCATATGTTCATTTTCACATAATTTCCTGTCCACTCCTTATTTTCTCTCTTGCGTTTTCCGGGTTCCAAGCAGCCCCTAAGAGTTTACCTGAAGAAATTAGTTTCCTGTGTTTTATGTCATTATGGTATTGCCATATATGCTATGATTCTTCAGTGTTTTTTTTGAAGAGTAATGGGCACTCCTTATGAGGACACATGGCCTGGGGTTGCATCTTTGCCTGACTACAAAAGTTCATTCCCCAAATGGCCCCCTAAGGTAAGTGCTGGTTCCCTTTTTTTCTCTAATATTTTATCTATATAACTATACTTTGAAGGGGACTCTTGCCCTGGTGCACTGTGTGACCGATAGGTCATGGGTTAAAATGACAATGGAAGGCTTGCCCTTGCTATACACCTATACCCTTGTGGTCGGACTTTTCCCTGAATCCTCACTTTGATGGAACGCCATTGTGCATCAGGCTGCCATTTTTTATCTACATAATTAAATATTCTTGAATGCCTTCTTCTCTTGTCAAATAATATATATGTGTGTATATACATATGGTATCTACTTTCCAGGATCTAGCAACTGTCGTACCAACACTTGATGCATCTGGCATTGATCTCCTGGGTGTAAGTATACACACATATACAGCTACTCGTCAAAAGGGATATTGTTGAATTTAATTTTTTATGATTTGCCCAAGTATACTGAGACTACATGATTAGGTTCATTTTAAATGAAATTGGAATACAGTCAATATAGAACTAAAGAAATGCCATGTTGTAGACATAAGAATTCTTACTAAAACCTCAACTGGAACCTAGAAAACACAAAGGAGAACACAAATGAGATTAACGGAAGGGAAAATGAGATGGAAAGAAAATGTAAGAGATAAAAGATCGTTTAAGACATGATAATTTTATTTTAGATTCTTTGTTATAGATCATTTTATTTATGCATGTCTTTATGTCTTTTATGTAATGATGATGATTAAGAAATATAAATAAATACTTAATAATAAGTATAAAAACCATACAGATTTTGTTTTCCTTCACAATTTTCAAGGAAAAATAAAAGGGGTTTGTCCTTGAATAATACTAAAACAAGTGCTATGGACAAATATAGGGCCACTTTTAAAAAATTCCAAATATGAGACTAAACTTGACCATGACCAACCAGACCACTGACTAATTCGGCTAGTGATCAACCAGACCAGTGACCAATTCGACCGGTGACCATGACCAATTCACCCAGGACCGTGACCAATCTGGCTAGTGACCAACGTGATCAACCCAACGTGATCAACGACCGTGATCAATCCAACCAGTGACCAACGTGATCAACTACCGTGACCAATCCAACCCTGACCAACCCAAGAGTGACCAACCAACCGTGATCAATCTGACCGGTGACCAAACCGACCGTGACCAATTCGATCAGTGACCAACCCAATTAATGACCTTGACCAATTTAACCAACGCCGACACTGCCGCCCTGACCACCATCATCCCCAACCAGCACCGCCCCCGACCACCACATTGACCACCGTCGCCGTCTGATGGTGACAGCCACCGCCACCCGGCGGTGACAGCCGCCACCCATAACCCACCAGCCCCCTCCATCACCCCCACAGCCCCAAGCAACCCACAGCCCCCTCCAGCACCCTCACCCAGAACCCTGTAGCCCTCCAGCACCCCTCCAACCCCTGCCCCAACAGCCCCCATCCAGCACCCTACCCAAGCAACCAGTGACCCTTAACCCCCCTCAAACACCCTTCCCAACCCCCAACAGCCCCTTCCCCTCAAGCACCCCCCAGCCCCTTCCCGACCAGCCCCCTTCTCAGCTGATCTCCTCCCCAAATTCTCAACCTCCTCCCCAAACCTTCAGATAGTGGATGATAAACTAGTCCCTAGTCCACCAAAGTCGTCATCGACACTTAGATTTGGCTCACCGCTGTGAACTCCGATGTGAACTCCAGATCGTGGATGATAAGCTAGCAGATCGAAGACGAAGCTCACCGCTGTGAACTCCGGCGTCCCTGGCCATCGACGTTGCTGGCGGTCGCTGGTGGTCGTCGTCTCTGGTGTCGCTGTCTCAACCCCTCCCCCAGCCCCCATCGATCCACCTTTGTAACGCCGGCGTCGCACGGGCGTCGACGTCGTTTTGCTGGCTGTCTCCGGTGTCCGTGTCTCCATTGTTGCCAGCTACCTCTTCGTCCGTGGCTTTGGTTCGCAGGTCTTTTGCTTTCGTCCGCATGTAGGGATGGACTCAACCGGCCCGACCCGGCCCGGAACTGGCCCGGCCCGCTACTGTGTGGTCCCGGACCGGACCGGGACCGGTTGGCCGGTTCCGGGCTTTTAGCCCGTTTGGGCGGGTCGGGCGGGTCGGGCTCGGGCCCAGTTTTGGGCGAACCGGCCTGGGCGGTTCGGGCCAGGCCCGGGTCTGTTTTTTTTTTGTTTTTTCGATTTTTTTTCTTTTCCTAGGGTAGGGCCGGGTGTTTTGGGGAGGTTTGGGGGTGGGGGGCGAGGGGGGGGGGGGGGTCGGGGGATAACAAGAAAGCAAAAAAAAAAAATAGACATTGAACCAGGCCCGGCCCGGCCCGGTTAGGCCCGGACCCGGTATCAACCCGAGCCGGTTCCGGGCCCAAGGATTTGCAAAAAAAGCCCGCCCGGGCCCGGCCCGAAACTGGAACCGGACCAGCCCAGGTCCATCCCTATCCGCATGTGAAGTCTCTTTTTTGTCCAATTGAAAATAGGTCTTACTTTTGGAAAGTGAGAAGTCACGAGTCTTATTTTAGTCTTTATTTCAAAATAAAACACAAGTAGGAATTATTGTTAATTTAGAAATTGTTCTAAATAGAAGTAAAAACGTTTTGAAATTCCAAAATAGAAATATCATGTTTTTTATTCATTGAATAAGAGTAATCTGTCAAGTTTGGAAAAAATGCCATGTTTAAAGCCTAGTAATGCCAAACTTGGCAAAATCTTACTCCTATTCAAAGAATAAAAAACATGATAGTCCTATTTTGGAATTTCAAAACCTTTTTACTCCTATTTAGGGAATTCTATCTCGTTAATTCCGCTATCATTTCTGCGATCCAAACATATACTTCTATGAAAGTTAGAGAATCTCTTGTTATGGTTCCAGAAAATGCTCAGCCTGGACCCCAGCAAAAGAATCACGGCACGGAATGCCCTTGAACACGGCTACTTCAAGGATATCGGTTTTGTCCCTTGAAATGGTTCTCTTCACTTTAATAACTACGTGCATGTGTAAAGTGGAACGTTGTATGCATTAATTTTGTTTAAGCTCATTAAATTAAGGATTGCCCTGTTGGAGTTTGTGTTTCCCTGTAATTTTAAATGTATCTTCAATCTTGTGGTGTAAGAATATTCTTGTTCAAGAGAGACTGGACTCTTTAGCATTTTATGTTATGCCTCTGCTGGTGAAACCTACTATATACTCCTTCACGTTCTTATGATGTTTTTACTAAGAACTTTTTTTGACTAGATCATACTTCAACAAACTAGACCAGATTAGATTTAAATAGATCATATCATACTTCCATTATAAAATACACATAGATGAGACATTTACCAGACCAAACCTAAACAGACTAAATTAGGGATGGATTGGGCCCAAGCGGTCTGACCTTAGATCGGTCCGGTACTGTTTAGGCTTGACCTGGTTCGTTACTGTTTAGGCCTAGCTCGGGGCCATGACTATTGGTTATAAAGGGCGGTCTAAATCGGGCCTGGTTTGGGCCCAATTGCACTATTTTTTATTTTTATTTTTAATTAAATAGGTGGCATTGACTCAGCCTAGCTCGGCATGGTACTGTTTGGGCCCAAGTTAGTCCCAGTCCCGGAGCATACTGTTAGACATGCAGCAAGGCAGCCGGTAGAATTTTATAATAAAGTGTATAAAAGAAGATCTAATAGGAATGCTGCTACTAACTAATAACTAATAACTAACGGGTTAGTTACTTAGTTGTTGTCCCTGCATGGACATTACTATAATTCTATAAATAGAAGGGCTCAGCTAGCTGAAGGTAGTTTTAGACTCTTGGCTAGAACAGGACTGGGAGATTAGGCATCTCGAATTGTCTATAGCTTGTATACTTTGATCTGGTGAATAAAGTGTGTGTACTGTGTGTTGTTCTTTGAGAATTTAGTCTTCGATATTGTATGATCTATCATTGGTATCAGAGCATTACGCTCATGGTGATTACAGAAGTGATTGGAGAAGTGTGAAGATCTAGAAATTTTGTTTCGTTCGAAGTTGGATGGTTAAAACGAGAGAAAAAATGGATCGTCGTTTGGATTCGTAGGAACAAAAACAACAGGAGACGCAATCTGCATTGGAGGTTCTCGCAGCTAAGATTGATGCGATGGCGGCACAGTTTCAGAATCGAGGAAGGTCGCGAACACCTCAAACTCATCATACGAGGAATTTGCGCAGTCCGGTACACTCAAGAGGTAATTCGGTTAACTCTCATGTCCATAATGCTCGACGTAATAATGAGTATATGAGAGCATATATTAGAAAGGTAGATTTACCTTTATTCAATGGCGAAGGAGCCTATAATTGGATCATACACATGGAGAGATATTTTCGTTTAAATCACATTGCGGAAGAAGAAAAAGTTGAAGCATCAATGATCGCGATGGAGGATAGAGCACTTAATTGGTTCAATTTGTGGGAGAATCAAACTGAGGAAACAAGTTGGGATGCTTTGAAGAAATCTGTCATTCGTAGATTTCAACCAGAACTGATTCAGAATCCGTATGGACCAATGCTAAGTTTGAGGCAAACTGGAAATGTGCAAGAATATCGAGAAGAGTTTGAAATGGTGATAGCTCCGCAATTGCATATGGATGGGGAATTGCTGCGAGGGGTATTCATGTCAGGTTTGAAGGATGAGATCAAATCTGAGCTGAAGATATATGCATCCAGGTCTTTAACTGAGATCATGGATAGAGCTGTACTTATTGAACAGAAGATTGAAACACAGTTTGGAAAAAGGAAGGAAGAGGAAAAACTGCAGTAAGGGAAAGAGGTTCTGTACCAATTAAAGGACAGAGTTGGGGAGATAATTCCAGAGTGAAATCTGGTTACAATTGGCCATCTCAGAGTAAAATTGTAGCTGAGAATAAGTACAATAATCCTGGAATGGACAAGATTGGTAAGAAGATTATTGATTCTTATCCAACCGGAATTAAAAGAACAGGACCCCTGTTATCTCAAGAGGAATTTCAGGAAAGAAGTAGAAAGGGGCTATGTTTTAAATGTGGTGAAAAGTGGAGTAAGGAACATACTTGTAAATTGAAGTATTTCAAGTTAATGTTGATTGAAGAACCAGTTGAGGAAGAACAGTCAGAACAAATTGAAGTCACAATACCAGAAAATGTCTCTAATGAAGTAATGGAATCTAAGTCTATGCAGTTATCCTTGATGAGCAAATAAGGGATTCCAACCATGAGGTCTTTCAAAGTGCAGGGGATTCTGATGGGAGAATCAGGAGATCAACATGTGGATGTGCTGATTGACAGTGGGGCTACCCACAACTTTATTTCACAGCAGTTGGTTGAGCAATGGAAACTGCCTTTTCAGACCATTTCTGATTACAAAGTGCAGATTGGCAATGGGGATCATATATCCCATAATAAGAAGTGTCCTCAGTTGAGATTGAGCCTACAAGGAGCTGACATAATACATGATTTTTATATCCTCAATTTAGGAGGCACTGATTTGGTATTGGGTATGGATTGGTTGAGAAGTTTGGGGGATGTGGAGATAAATTTTCAGAAACAGAAAATTAAATGGAAGCAGTGGGAACAAGAGGTGTGCATTCAAGGAGATCCCAAACTGAATTCAATGGAAGTGTCATTGAAAACATTTTCACAAATATTATGTGATAATGGAGATGGTTACTTTTTATATTGTGAAGGGCAGAACATAGAAATGGAGCAAGAAGGAGGACTGGAAACCATTTGGAAGCAGATTTTGGAAGAATTTCCAGAAATTACAAAACCTAGAGAGGGTTTACCTCCCAGAAGAAACTGTGATCACTCAATAACTATTCCGGAAGGAGCTAAGATACCTAATATCAGACCTTACAGGTACCCATAGTACCAGAAAACTGAAATTGAGAAGATCGTGAAGGAGATGCTTGATTCTGGGATCATCCAGAATAGCAATAGTCCTTACAGCAGTCCCATACTCTTAGCCAAGAAAAAGGATGGTGGCTGGAGGTTCTGTGGAGATTACAGAGCCCTTAACAAAATCACAGTTCCTGACAAATATCCAATTCCAGTCATTGAAGAGCTACTTGATGAACTTGGGGAGGCTACCATATTTTCTAAATTGGATCTCAAATCTGGCTACCATCAGATCAGGATGAAAGAAGAATATAGGATGAAGACAACTTTCAGGGCACATGAGGGCCATTATGAATATTTGGTGATGCTCTTTGGTCTAACTAATGCTCCCTCTACCTTCCAAGCTTTGATGAACCACGTACTAAGGCCTTATTTGAGGAAGTGTGCCTTAGTCTTTTTTGATGATATCTTGGTGTACAGTAGAACTAAGGAGGATCACATAGAGCATTTGAGAGCAGTCCTATCGGCTTTGAGGGATAATCAGTTGGTGATTAACCTAAAGAAATGCTCTTTTGGACAACCTCAATTAGTCTACTTAGGGCATATTATTTCTGGAGTAGGAATAACAGCTGACCCTACCAAGATTGAAGCCATGGTTACTTGGCCAAAACCTCAGAATTTAAAAGAGTTGAGAGGGTTTTTGGGGTTAACTGGCTATTACAAAAAATTTGTAAGGGGGTACAGTAAGGTTGCAGCACCCCTTACACAACTCCTAAAGAAAGACAGTTTTCAGTGGGGAGAACAAGCTACACAAGCTTTTGAGGAGTTAAAAAGAACCATGACTTCACTCCCAGTCCTAGCCACACCTAACTTCAATAAGACATTCATTCTGGAGACTGATGCTTCTGGAACTGGTTTAGGTGCAGTTCTCATGCAAGAAGGCAGACCTGTGGCTTTTATGAGCAAGATATTATCCAAAAGAAACCAAAACAGATCAGTCTATGAAAGAGAGCTCTTGGCTATTGTGTTAGCAGTACAGAAGTGGAGACCCTATTTGTTGGGAAGGACTTTTGAGATTGTAACTGACCATAAGAGTTTGAAGTTTCTGACTGAGCAAAGATTGATGGGAGAAGAACAACAGAAGTGGACTTCTAAGTTGTTGGGGTACAATTTCATCATCAGATATAGACCTGGGATAGAAAACAAAGCTGCTGATGCTCTGTCTAGAAGACCTATGCTCCAGTCTCTTTCAATTGTGACATGTCAAGAATGGGATGGGTTGGAAGAAGAATTGAAGGCTGACATCAAGTGTGCAGAGTTGATTCATAAGGTGATTTCTTATCCAGATCAATATTCAGAATTTCAGATCATTAAAGGCTTGTTATATTATAACAAGAGATTAGTTTTACCTCAAAGATCACCTAGAATCACAAAGATCATGAGGGAATATCATGAAACTGCCATGGGAGGACATTCAGGATATTTTAGAACCATGAAGAGAGTATCCAGTCTTTTCTTTTGGCAGGGTATGATGAAGGATATAAAGAAGTGGGTGGAAGAATGTGTGGTTTGCCAGACTAATAAATATCAAGCTTTGAAGCCTGCAGGACTACTACAACCACTCCCTATTCCAAATAGCATTTGGACTGACATTAGCATGGATTTCATTGGAGGATTACCCAAATCACAAGGAAAGGATACTATACTTGTAATTGTGGACAGATTAACTAAATATGCTCACTTTATTGCTTTATCACATCCCTACAATGCTAAGGAGGTAGCTGATGTGTTCATTAAAGAAGTGGTCAGATTACATGGGTTTCCTAAAACTATAGTCAGTGACAGAGATAGTGTCTTCCTCAGTGTTTTTTGGTCTGAACTATTCAAACTAGCTGGGACACAATTGAAGTACAGTACAGCTTACCACCCTCAGACTGATGGTCAGATTGAGGTGGTTAATAGATGCTTGGAAACTTATCTCAGGTGTTTGACAGGAAGAAAACCAAAAAAATGGCTTAACTGGTTACATTGGGCTGAGTATTGGTACAATACCAATTATCATGCTGCACTGAAAAGCACTCCTTACAAGGCTCTATTTGGACATGACCCTCCTGCAGTAATAAGAGGAGATGTTACAGTTACTGCAATAAAAGAAGTTTCAAAGTTGACTGCTCAGAGGAATATGATATTGGATGAGTTGAAAGAGAATTTGGCCAAAGCTCAGAATCAGATGAGGCAGCAGGCCAATAAGCACAGGAGAGAGGTTACATTGGAGATAGGGGATCAGGTTTATCTGAAAATTCAACCTTATAAGCTAAGGAGTTTAGCTAAGAGGGTGAACCAAAAGTTAAGCCCAAGATTTTATGGTCCATTTCAGATAATTGAGAAACTCAGTTATGTGGCTTTTA